TTTCCTTGAACGGAAAGAAACAACATGGCACAATCTATAAAAGTATGTTTAGGGGCTTAGAATCTGTAAGTTAAAAAGAAAATCAAATCTATAAAACTGTTCACACATTTCTTGAAGAGAAGTTAGGTAGTTTAACAAATACCTAACCACCAAACCAGGGGCTTATTATGAATATTATGGAGTTCTTTTTATAGTTACTTTTAGAGATCAGCATCATGATTAATTAGAAGTCCTTTAACTTTTTAAAGAAATAACTCTGAAGTTTTGCACCAGTAACCATAAAGTTAGGTGGGCTGGAAAGAAGCACCTTCTGCCTGTGGGATGTTTTTCTAGCCTGGTACCTGACTATTGTGGCACTATCTAAATGTTCCTTGTTTTAAGAAGAAACCAGGAAGTTGGCAGTGGCCATAACTTCTCAAAAGTGTCTCTTCTTTTCCTTGCCTGTAATGAGATGTCAAGGTCATGACATACCAAGGTCCACACTTCCTGATTTTCAGTCTCTAAGATACAAAAGTCACAGTTAAGTAACTGTCACTCCCTAAGCAATCCCTCAGTAAACTCTTCCCCCTAGAGAAGATCCCGACTGTCCCACTGTGGTGCCTTAAAATATTACTGTACAAAGTATTCGCAATTTCTGCCCATTGAATATTTATTTAACTTTGGATTGTCTTTCAGAACTATATTAACTTGGGAATCATTTGGCTGATACATATGAATTAGAACTCTAATATACTGCATAGAAGAACCCCTCAGAAGCAAATAATTATAAGGCACTCTGTATATAGTACATTTTATTTGCAGTATTTCTATGTTGATAATAAAATTGGTGCCTGGCTGGTGTGGCTCAGAGGATTGAGTGCCAGCCTGTAAACCAAAGGGTTGCTGGTTCGATTCCCAGTCAGGGCACATGCCTGGGTTCGGGGCCAGATCCCCCAGTGGGGGGCACATGAGAGGCAACCACACATTGATGTTTCTCTCCTTCTCTTTCTCCTTCCCTTCCCCTCTGTCTGAAAATAAATAAAATCTTTAAAAAAATTTGGTTTAATTTCTTAGCCAATTTCTCTCAAATATTTTTTTAACCCATAACCCACCAGTTCAGAAAATTTAAGAAGACTGTGTTTTCTGTAGTTTTTATTTCAAAGCAATATTTCTCCAAATGTAAAATTATAAAACAATAAAAGCAACACAGCCACCCATTCTGTGTGCATAGACATGTATACACATATATTCTGATCATTGTCCTTGCCTGAGAATCTCTGTGCTTAGAGGATTGTTCAAAGCTCAACTCAGTTGTCCTTTGTTTTTAAAAACGAGAATTAAAGAAAAAGAGACAGAAGGTTAATCCTAAGAGAATGTTATTGTCAATGGCATTTTTATATTAAAAAAAAAAAAAGGGCTACAGATAACCAAAACTGATGATTCCAGTTTTATGAAGCTTCGAATCCTTTAAATGATATCTTTTTATCCTTTTATCTTAAAGTCCTTTTAATGCATCTATCTCATCATTGGCCATTCACCTGCTTAACCTTCTATTGTGGTGTCAATTAAGTATATTCTTAAAAATAATAGAAAAGATAAACTTCTGACAAATGTATCTAGCACTGAACTTTTTTGAATTAAATAAAGCTTAGGCAGGACAAATCACACAATTTTGATAGTGGTTTATTTAACATAAAATTAGAATAACATCAACTGTATTTTCACTTATATTTGACTCAGACAATCAATATGGTATATCTTCTGGATATTTCAATTCACTGCTATATATTTTTGCTTTGTCTTCTATTATTATCATTAGTCCTATATCTTGCAAATAGCTAATACTTACTGACCTCTTATCATACATTATGCAGCATGCTAAATGTCCTTATTTACACCTTATTAACTCTGCCAATAAACCAGAGGTAGGTGCTATTGTTATTTTCAGGAGAGTGAGGCTAACACAAGAAAGTAGCCGAGCTAAGCCTGGGACAGAGGCTTGTTTGCCTCTAGACTGAACCACTTAATGTTTACATCTTCCACTGCCTTCGGCTATATATATTTTAGCAATATTTTCTTGTAAAAAGAAGTGAACGTAGATGTCTTTGGATTTTAGCAAACTCACTAAAGACTCAAACGTATAGGCCGAATCACATAAGAACTAATTTGTTCTGTACAATCTAAGGTCTCAAACTCAGTGTTTAGACTAGAATGACATTGAAAGGAACATTTGTGGCAAAATATGACAATTTTATCCAGCTCTATTAGATACTATAATACAGAGATTTGAGGAAGAAAACAATATTCTCAGAGCAGAAAAGTGAGGTTCAAGAAATCTCTCCATAAGGAAATAATTTCTAAGTCTTGTAGAAAGAGAGGTAAGAAAAAGCAGACAGGAAATGTTGATATTGAGAACACACTATAAAAGAAATCCATATTAACCTAAAAGTATCTGTGGTTAGAATTTTTCCATCATAAAAATATTTCTTCACCAAAAGACTTAAATTCAGGTTATTACCGATTTCCCCACTGCCTTTTCCTCTTTCCCTTTATATTTGTTACAAATTGGAAAGTATTAAGTACTTTAAGGAAAGTTGCTTTGTCGCCAGCTTTGCTACAATTCAGCTAATCCATAAACCAAGGCATATTGTAAATGGATGGCTATCTGTTTTACTGGTGTTCCACATCAAGTTCCAGGTTGGTTTTCTAAAAAGAAATCCAGGTTGGATTTCTTTAAAAATAAAAGGAATTTACCTATGGGTAGCCACAAATCCAAAATCTTTGGGAGGTTAAGCCTATTTTAGAGAAATTATGAGTGATACTTAGGCTGTGTTTTATAATCCACATAATTTCTGATCGTAGATGAAGTTTTCTTCACTGCTATTATGCTTCTTTACAAATAATTTCTGTCAAAATGTGTCTCTAGATTTTAAAAAAGTAAAACATCTCACAAGATATGGGCTGTTTTATTTATTTAACTTTCCCAGTATGGGCATTACAGGAAGAATGGATCAAGCTAAGATTCTTCTAGTAAATTAATATCCACTAAAAAAACAAAAAAGGTTTAGGATTACACCTGACAGAATTGTGATGTCATTTGTAATCAGCTTTTGGCTTCCCATAGAGCAACAGAAAGATAACAAAAACAATAACAAATTGCACCAACATAAAAACCCTCTCTTGTGAATCATAAAAAACTTGACCCACATGCTAGTAGAACTAGCAAATAGTAAAATAAAGTCATAAAAATATTAACTTTGTCATTAGTGCTTTGTACTCAAGAGTTGTTCATTAAGAATATGTTGAATGAATATAATTGTGAAGAGAAAATCACTTGGGGTCAATAGATAACAGTTGTGAACATGTATGAATAACTCTTGGGATCCCCTCAAAGTAAATGTATGAGATTTGGAAGACAAGATGCCTCAGCAGGTGACAGGAAAAGATTTAAAAATACGTCTATCATCATTGATGCAATCCCACGTGTCCTCACAGGCTGATGAAACCTGGTTAAACACATTCCATTTTTTATTCAAAGGTTTATGGGAATGATCTTATTTTACTATCTCAATAGGTCAATAATGATATAAGTACTTTCTAACCAAACACAAATGAAAACATTCATAACTGAGATTTATCTGATGACCACTTATGATTGAATCAAGAGTAATCTCTGCCTGAACACAAAATCTTGATAAATGTTTGTGAATTAACTCATCACATAATCTCCTTCACAATAATGCAAGGGATATTTTTTCCACTTTGGGACTGGATAAATAATAAAAGGAATTATTTGTGATGTACTGAAATAAAACATGAATCATCTGTGGATGGATTTACTAAAGAGTTAACTCAAGAACACAAAGAATTACAATGTGTTCGACACAGGTATAACTATTTTTAATCACTAATTCCTTCCCCAAGGGAATGGTACGCAACTCCAAACACCATTGACTGAAACAAATTCCACGCTACAGCTGATAGCTTTCTGCAGCATCTCCAGAGCTAGTTCTTTCCTTTTTGGGTCTCATTCTAGAGGAGCTATTAATTAGATAGGACCACTTAACTTTATACACTTAGGATACAGCCAGGATAAGTGCCAATTAATTGCTTTCAATATTCTCATAAATGATTCCAACAGTCATATATAACTTATTACAAGATTTAAATCCTTAGCTTTCATTGTGAGATAGAATGTTTCCTCTTCCCACTTCATAGAACTGGTATAAATCCCTTCTTCCCAGGAGAGGAAAAAGGGAATAAGGAGAACCTAAGCTTCTTCAGTTTTCATGCTCCTCTTCCACTGGCACCACTTCCGTTTGGGCAGGTGAGGCGCATGGGCAATACATATCTTCAAGAATCTCCCAAACCTACTTTTTTCGTTACATTATTTTACATGTATTATTTTCCTTTTAAAAAGTTTAAGTATGTCATAAACCTAAAACTGCTCTAAAAATAGTCTTAAAAAAAATAGTTGTAGACGGCCAGCTGAGCAAATAGCCTTAACTGACGTAATGAATATTTTAACTGTTGCTGAAATTCACTGAATATTCTTAGAGGACTAATATGTACTTCAAGTTTGAGAAGCTGCCCCTTATTGACAATGGTGTATCATCATTCACAGTGACTCCTGAATTCCAAATCACCATTGTGAGATACTTTTTCTTCTATACCTTCTTCATTTAGCCTCTTAGCACAATATGCACAAGCTATAGACAACTTAGGTTTTTCAAAATATTCCTTTCATGATGCACATAGTCATTCAAACTGAGTTTATGCATTCTGGGTAATCTTTGCTCATCTTACTCACCACTTGAACCCTACCCTTTCCACTTTCCATTCTTTAAAACTTTACTCCAATGACTTTTTAGATTTCTCTGACCATCCAAGGATAGTCTCTCAAAGTTTTTACTCTTCTTCATCCTGTTCATTTGGTGCTTCCAAACTTACCCATATAAAAATATACCTGTCTTCCCACTTGGTTCATAGACCCTCTCTCATTCATTCCTTTTTTTTTTTCCTGGGAGAGAGGGCGAACGCAGTCCCCCACCACCACAAATTATGCAGTCAAGTTTCCCACATTTCGGGGAATCGCAGGTGTCAGCACAGCTGAAATTCAATGAATAAGGCTCACCTTGGGAAAACCATCTTTGTGATCACAGTACCTCCCCTTCCAGGTAAGTATCTCTCATTCTAGTTCCACAAAGCTAGTATGGTGGCTTGAATATAGCAGCTTTCAAAGGTTCAAGTGAACAAGATTTAAAATGGGAAGAGAAAAGATGAAACTCTTAATAATGCTGAAGTTCATTTTATTTGTATACTGTTAAGTGATTTGCCCATTGGCTCAGCCTTTTATTGCAACTGTTATCTCTCTTTTTGATTAGCAAATTCTGGGTATCTTGTATTGTCAGAAATGAACTAAAAGCAGCTACTAAGCTGAGTAAAAAACATTGACACCTATACTACTATCAATATAGGGTGTGTGATTTATCCATATCATTGCTGTTATTAGAATCAACTAGTTAAATTGCTGAATATTTTGACCAAAGAATAAGTTTTATTTTTTTATAGTTTACAGTATATTTTTAAAGAAAAGTTTTATTTGGCCTCAGATGGCAATCATTAAGACCACAGAACTAGGTGAGAACAAGAAGCGTCAGTATACTTTCTCTAGGGTGGTCTGGTCTAAACTGCACTTTGGCTTCTTCAGGAAAAGAGGCTATCAACCTATTAGGTTATATGCTGTAATTCTTTTGGACCTCATTTGTTATTCATCAAATCTAATCAAATTTCTTCATTCTGTAATTCCAGAAAAGAAACCACTAAAAACATTTTAGGCAAAATAAATACTTTATTGTTTTAATTTTTATTTTTTTTTAGAAATCAGCCTTTGTGTGATAATTCAAATATTTATAAACCTTTTAGATAGTTTTTCAAAGAATATTGTTAACACTTCAACCACTTCTGATTAAAATTTCACACAAAGAATATAATAGAATTCGAAAATTATAAATGCTAAAGGAATACTCTAATAACATTTGGTTGTTACTTTACATATTTATTTAACACATTTATAACCAAATAGGAAACTATCTTCCTCTTTTTTTCCATAAAAAATGAACAATTCTTAATGGTTGAAACTGAACCAAAACCATCTATTATAAGGAGAGCAAATCTAAATTACTGCCATTTTGAAAAAAGAAAAGCTTATTTATTTCTACCCATTCAAGTCACAGTCCCCATTATTTTGGCAATTCTCTACTATTTACTCTAAAAGATAGAAGAATAAACACCTCCTTATAATAAAGAAGTCTGGACAATGCAAAAAGTACATAGTGTTTAATATAAGGCACATTTCCAAAAGAAAAATACTACATAAGCAATAATAAAATTACATTTGTCTTGGGTAAAGTAACAATGCTTACCTACAGTGTAAGAACATTAAGTAGTTGTAGGAAACCTCCTATGAGAATTCTATCTTACTGCTATTAGTAACTTCCTCAAGAACTAAGAGTAAATTTTCACAACAGAACAATTTTTCTTCTTGGAAGTGACACTAATTAACAGCAGTAGAGAGAAAATCATTATTTGTTTCAAGCTCTCAAAAAATGAATCAGTTATTGCACAGTAAATACCTCATAGAGGTCAGTGTTTAAGAAAGCTAGTCTGAAGAAATATGTTATTTATACATTGGTTAAGTCTGGAAGTTTTCAAGTTTTAAAATTAATTCTACATAGGGAACTGATTGGAAAATATTGACATACAAATAAATATTAGGCTTTTCAAATGGCTACAGTTTTGATATTTAAAAAAGAAATAAAGTAAGCAAAGTGCCTAAGTTTCTATGTATGTTTTTTTTAAAGATACGCATAGAAGAAATAAACATTGTACACTGTATAAAGCAGCCCAGCTCAGCAGCAAGTATCTTCAGAAGCACAAATGACACCTCCACCAGTGTTTATCATTGATAACTCCAATATTACACCGCTAAGACGGTCCATGCTAACCTTAAAAAAAAAAGGGAACATTAGACATCTTTCAAATATTATTATTAAAAAGTTCTTTAAAAGTGAAATGAGAATATTCTCTAAATACATATTTATAAATGTAACATATAAATATAAATATATATATAAGCATATATACATATGAACAAGATCCTTTTTTGATCCCTATACATCTTCTCAAGAGTTCATTCTTTTATCCCTGGCTTTGAAAAAAACCCTGTTAGTTATTTTATGAAATAGTTTATAAAAATATTTTTCCTATTTTCTACAATGGAAATTACATATTATATTTTTCAAATTATATATTTGTTTCTTACATTCTATTGAATGAATATTTTTAGTTCTATTAAAGGCATTCTTCTACAGAAATGTATTACTGACTTTAGCATTCACTAAGTATTACTATTAATATATAGTTTATAAAATGTAGCTAGAGCTATTAGATAAAATTAAAGTAATTAATTCTAATAAATAAAACACAGAAAATAATTCTAAATATATTATGACATGACTAGATAGGGATCTATGGGATACATTTCTTTAAAAGACAAAAGTTTAGAAAGATACTAAGAATTTGTGGTTAATTCTCAAAATCGTGGTCCATAAACTGTACATCTGAATACTATTATAACCAATGCAATCAAAATAACACTCAGGTTTGAAAGTCCTGACATCCCCAATTCTAGCATTTATTTACTATAATAAAATTCCAGTAAAATGACATATGGGTGGAGCAAAAGTAGGTTTATAGTTGTGAGTATGGGAAAGTTTATTCTTGTGTTATTTATTAATTATTGTATTATTTTCTATACAAACTGTAAACCTACTTTTGCCCTAACCTCTCTTAGAGTTTAGTATTATAAGATTTGACATACATTTCAGAAGGGGTTGTCTAAGGTTTTCACACTATAGAATGATGTATTAGATACATTCTAAAAATCAAAATTTCATTTAAGAAACAGACCTGTGTGTATACTAAGAAAACAAAGCATTAAAAGCTAAGTATTATTTTACATTTATATAAACAAAGAAATTCAGTAAATTTACCTATTAATTCCATTTAATGACTATCTTGCTTAGAATTAGATGCTTTACTTGAAGACACTGCTGCCAAAAGTCCACTCACAATTTCCCGTCTGATTTCCCCAACAATAGACTCTTTAATCTAGAATGGAAAAAGAGAAAAATAAGAACTTAGCAATATGACTGTAACCCATTTTTGGTTTTCAAAAAAAAGACAACATAAACACTTAATTTCTGCAATCACCTAAACCATAAAGAAAACTACAACCTTCACGTGAACCTTCATGCAGAACAGAAAGGGAGGAGGGAATCACACCGTCTATCCTCAAGCCCAGATCTGATTTCTAGCTCTGGTCTACCATAAGTTCAGACAGCTACATTATAAAATATCACATTTAAGTTGAGAATATTAGAAAATGTTATTTTATAGATTAAAAAAACTTCTATTAAGCAATTTGCTTCATGATACAAAATAACCTCGACTAAGTGTTAGGTTCTCTTTTATGTTTTTATTAATATCCACCTTTGTATGATAATCAGCAGGATGGTCAACTGTTCTCATCGTTAAGAAAACCCATTAGTGGCAAAATAATATACAGGTATGCTGTCTCTTTACACCAACTGAAAGTGTATCTAAAGAAGTTATATATTGTTCTAATGCAACACACAGGTTTTAAGTAGAAAGAAATGATTATTTATTACAATTTATTTTAAAACATGAAAATCATTCTTTAAATGACCATAAACTCTAAAGAAATAAATTTTTCTTCAGTCATATGGTATATTTGTCACCTATCTGAAACTTATCGTTGGAAAAGGCAAACAGACCTGGAGGCAATGACAATTCCATCAAGATTTTCTTCTCCAGATACCTGAACACTACACAAGCCTATTGTGCCCTTTTCTCTCTTATGATATAGCATCACATCCAAATAGCTCTTTGTGAAGACTTTAAATGTGTATTTCCTGAAATAAACTGATAATGCCTTCCTAAATTAGCACTTGAGACACTCTCTCAACCAGCTTTTAAAAATTCTACATTTCCACAATTTCCTGTCAGCCTGATCTATTTCCTAAAATGTTTCTAAGTACATCCTGAACACATTTCAATTGAAGTCTTTCCAAAAATGGCTCTGCATTAATCTGTCATGCAAAATTGGTACATAATACACAGATTTATACATTAAGTATACAAAGAAATAAATGTTCCTTAGCTCCCAACCACCTGCATTTTAATATATTCAAATAAGTAAAAGCTTCTCATTTTACCTTCTACCAGTACTTTTAAGCTTTAAACATCATAAAAGTTTGACATTCATAGCACTTCGGGTCATTTTTTAAACTCTATTGCTTATGCTAGGACAGCTGCCCCAATTTTTCCCCCTTTGCTCCCCTCCACCCAGCCCCCAACTCCCTCAGGCCATCCCTCCACCACTGCCCATGTCCGTGGGGCACACACACAGATTCATTCCACACAAATATCTGTTAGATACAAATATAATGAAAACCAGAGTCTCTCAGCCACAATATACAAGCAAAAACACAATGTGTGTTGAATCAGAACCACTGCAAATCTGTATTTACAAGACACAATTAACAGCATAGTTTCTCTGGTTCTGTTGTTCAATGCAATATGGCAATTTTACTAAATCTCCTCATTCTTGAACATTAAAAAATAAACTTGTCAAAAGGTATTAATTACAACCAAAAATGGATGCCAGCATATCTGGGGAGTACAGACATTGACTGGAGTGAAGCAGAAGACTCTCCACCATTAAGGATGTTATAATCTTAATGGGCACAAATTGAGTATTGTTTCATAAAATATTAAGAGGAAAAATAATTAATTAATTTACTAATGACATGAGAACAGAACAAATTTTGAAAAATGAGAGACTGCTTTGGGCTAGGAGATAATAAAAATTCTCAGAGAATGACAGACTTTCACACAGCAGGTCATGAAAAAGGAGAGAAGGTTTCAGAGCAAAGCGAGAACAGACAACTGGAGTAAGAGCGCCTGGGATGCGAGGGTGCAAATGGAAAGGAGTCTGGCTGACAAGACAGTCCCTGCCAGGGAGTGGAAAGAAATTAGAATAGAAAGGGTGAGGCAAGTGCAAAGTGTTTACGGTGTGATACTTCAGGGAGAGGATTGGGT